TTTTTTTTTTTTGCGCGCTATATTTTCTTTAAAGATAAAACAATTTCCATTACTCTTTATAATGAAATTGTTTTCTTGAGAGATGAGGACAAAATTAAATGACTCTGTTCACAAGTTAAGATTTAGGGTTAGGAGGAGTCTTATATAAAGGACTGCCTATAGTTTATGTTCCTTGGTTGATAATGAATGAAAATGTGAATTGATATCGTAAAGTGTTTTTGAGATTGCATTCTCATTAATATCGTTCCACTAGTACGCTTTCCTACATCAGATATACGTAAATTTATAATGAAGATTACTATAATTCACGTTTGATGTGATATTCATAAGGCAAAATTGTGCCTAATATCACCACCTTTATCGAAATTGCAAATTAATCATGACTTTTGGACTTTGGTGCACAATATCATGATCTTCCATTTTTGGCAATATGGTACATGAAATTCCTCAGCTCCCCAAAAAAAATCGACGTGGCTTAAATTTGCCACCACGGAGGCTTAGCCGGTGGTCCACCTCAGAGCAATACGGCGTCGTTTTAATTCTTTTTATCCACGTCAGATCAAAACGACGTCGTTTCAATATCCTAGCAATACTGAAGTCATTAAACCCTAATTCCTAATTCAAAAAAATGTAGAAAAATGCAGAAAAACCAGAAAGATTCATAAAAACCTAATAAGCCATAACCTTAATCCCTAATTTTCTAATTCCATAATCAATCAACTTCATGGTTTCCAAATTCAGAAAAATTAAACCTAATAAGACATTAAACCCTAATTCCCAATTTAAACAATCTACAGGCTTAAAGCAATTACCATGGATACATGTAAACTATGCTTACCAATCGATTTTTGCACCTGTAGAACCTCCTACTCGAATTTCGATCGGTATTAGAGGTCAGCAATTCGGCCTCACCATGGATACATGTAAATTTTGATGTTGTACTCCTAGATGAGCTGGATTTGGTTGACATTTTGCCTACTCCTTCTTCTGCGATGACGAAAACCCAGCCCCAAAAACTTTCTCCTGCAGATTGAAGAAGTGTTCATCGACTGATTTGGGGATTTAATCAGCAATTTACCACTCAAAATGGCGTCGTTCGATCTGAGGTGGAAAAAAAATACTCAGATATCGAAACGACGTCGTTTTGATCTGACGTGGATAAAAAGAATTAAAACGACGTCGTATTGCTCCGAGGTGGACCGCCAGCTAAGATCCACGGTGGAAAATTTAAGCCAAGTCGATTTTTTTTGGGGAGCTGAGGAATTTCATGTACCGTATTGCCAAAAATTGAAGATCATGATATTGTGCGCCAAAGTCCAAAAGTCGTGATTAATTTGCAATTTCGAAAAAGGTGGTGATATTAGACGCAATTTTGCCTATTCATAAAGGATTTTTTCTAAGCGATTACTACTTAATGCAAATTATATTGAGAAATTTACTCCTCTTACTAATGGTTTGACAAATAATATTAAAAATACGAATTGAAAAACTTTTCATCACAAATACGATTGATATTTAATATTCCAATGGAATTTCACACTCTTTCTCTCTCCCACTATCTCTCTTGAGATTTAATATCCCAACGTAAATCTTCTCTCTCTCTCTCCCACTTTCTCTCTCTTGAGATTTAATATTTCAACGTAACACCTCTCTTTCTCTCACTTTCTCTCTTATCGCAATCCTCTCTCTCTCTCTCTCTTGAACTTTATCACAACATCTCTCTCTTTCTCACAATTAATTTAAATTGCAAGAGAAATAAAATGAATCTTACGAAATTGATGTGGCTGGATTTTTTTGTGTTGGCCGGCGCACGCGGCTGGAATTTTTTTGGGGCTGGCCGAATCGTCGTGCTGGTGTGGCCGGATCGTCGTGCTGGTGTGGCCGGATCGCAAGCGGACGTTGGTTGCGTGAAGAATAAGCATTACTGTTTAATTTCAGAAATTGGATCTCAATTTCGACCTTCCGAATGCAAGGTTGTACAAAAAAAAAAAAAAAGCTTCAATTTCAAAAATTAGATGCTCCTACTCGTAGAAAAAAAGCACCAATTCCGAACCCTGCCGAGATTGAGCCAGCCGACGACGATGATTTCGTCTCAATTTTATATGTTGTTTAGTTTATGTATATATATATCGTCTCAATTATATAGTGTTTATCTTATGTATATAAATACAATTTCTGTTCTCATGTTACTAGCTTATTGCAGAATCAAAGATGTTTATATGCTGTTTATTTTATGTATATATATATATACACTTTTTGTTCTCCTATTATCAGGTAATTGCAGAATCAAAAATATGTTTATATGTTGCTTATCTTACGTATATATATGTACAATTAGCCCAGTCATATGTATATATTATGACAAGGTATGGAAGAATGATGATGCTATGGGTTTTTTTT